TGGATTTTCTGGCTCTCAGCAGCGAGTGCCACCATTTAATTGGGTGTTGTACAAAGTATTAATTATTCCTGCTCCATTTAAACCTATGACCTGATAATTCCCTCCTTCTTCTTGTTAGCACTTGTCCCCAACTTTCCCTACAYTCAGACAGTCACAGAATTCTTAAGGTTAGAAAAKATCAAGTCCAGTCATCAAACCAGCACTGCCAGAGCCACCACTGCCCATGTCCCCAGGTGCCATATGCACAGGGCTGTTAAACTCCTCCAGGGATGGGGATCCACCCCTGCCCTGGGCAGCTCTGCCAGGGCTGGACAGCCCTTTCCAGGAAGGGGAATATCTCCCCTGGCCCAGCCTGAGGCCGTTCCCTCTCCTCCTGTCCCTGTTCCCTGGAGCAGAGCCCGACCCCCCCGGCTGTCCCCTCCTGTCAGGGAGTTGTGCAGAGCCACAAGGTCCCCCCGGAGCCTCCTTTGCTCCAGGCTGAGCCCCTTTCCCAGCTCCCTCAGCCRCTCCTGGGGCTCCAGACCCTTCCTGCACCACTGACCATCGTCCATGTGGCACCTTCAGCTGTCCTTCTCCCAGAAGAATATTTCCTTTCCATCATCCTCCTTCCCTTGTTGGAGGAAATTTTATTTCTCTGGTTAATCATGTGCCTGTTTGGTTTTTTGGATTTTCTTTTTAAGCTCTGCTGAAAACCCTATGAGTCACTGTGGGGAGACACAGGGCCTCTCCAGGGAGAAGATCCCAGCAGCACATGGAGCAAATCTGCATTCCCTCTTTTCCACTTTCCTTATCAATTCCCATTTTTTTCTGCTGCACTGACTCCAGGCACAGCCAGAGCAGTCAGACATCTCTGAGGGCAGCTGGCAGGGGAGCTGACCTTGGCACAAACACCAGCACCGACCTCTCCTGCATTTCAGCACCATGAGCGCAAAAATCACTTYCTATCACCTGGAATCTGCTCTGAATCAGGCGAGCAATGGAACCACAACACGGCTTTCACGCCCTCTCCTCCCAGGAATCCCCGAGCAGGGAGTCAAAGGGAGTCACCAACTCCCCCTCCAAGCAGTCTAGATCCATTTTGGGGAGTTTTCCCAGGGTTTAAAATACCAGGGACAGATTTCCACCCTTCCCTTGCACACTTCACCAAACACCCCCTTACCACAGAGCTGGGAAACCAATCCTCAAATATTCAGCACTCACACAATTCCTGAATGTCATGACACTGCCCTAAAAAGAAAGGATAATTTCTATATTTGTTTAAAAAAAATCCACCAACCACAGTGACCAAATATGGAGGATAAATACAAAAATCTGATTTTCAGGCCAGGTTAAGAGCACAGGGCCATTATGTTTACTACAACTTTACCAACACTTTGCAAYCCCAATTAGAAGCAGGAATGCCAGGCTGGGCAGAGCAAAGCCTGATCTGGGGCTGTCCTGTCCTCCTGTCACACTCCACGTGTGTTTCAGAGGAATTAAGCACACGTGGTAATTGAGGAGAGAGCTAAGCCAGCAGCTCAGCTCCGCTCTCACTTTCTGCTGCTAATCCGCCCGGAATCCCCGGGCAGGTTTCTCCCTGGGAAGCAGCATGAGGACAGGGAGCTCAGGTCACCCCAATGTCCCAGGTCACAGCTCGTCACCAAAATATTCCTGGCTCCCCAGCAGGCAGAGAGGAAACCAGAGCTCCTGCACGCACAGAACAGCAAAGTCTCCCACCCCATATTCAGTTTAGGGACAGGTTTGCCTTTTAAAAACAGCCATGCAAAGCAGTCCTGTGAAATGGCCCCTGTGGGTGCACAGCTCCAGCTAGCAGCTGAGTTAAAAACACTTCCCCAGCTATTGAATTTGGGAGAACTCCTGGGGAAAAGACCCTTTTCATCCAYCCCAAAACAGTGTCCCAGTAGCAAAGATTTGTGCAGCATTTTTCTGACTTGCCAGTCCTATTACCCATCAAACTTCCATTCAAATGTCAAATATCCTGACAGCCTGAGGGATCACTGATTCCTGAAGGAATGGTGAATGCAGAATCCCGGCTCAGGCCCCAGGAGCTTTGTGGGTGACTTGAGGCTGAACAGTGCTGTTCATGCAACAGAGAGACGGGGACATCCAGGAGCTGGACAGGAGGAGAGGGCTCAGGAGAACCTCACCAGGTTCAGCAAGTCCAAGTGCCAAGTCCTGAATCCAGCTCAGGGAAATTCCAACCATGAGTACAGGCTGGGAGAGGAACTCCTTGAGAGCAGCCCTGGGGACAGGGACTTTGGGGCTGGTGAGTGAGGGCTGCCCATGCCCCAGCCATGAAATGTCCCCTGAGCCCCTGAAACCACGTGGGCAGCAGGGGAGGGGGAATTCTGCCCCTYTGCCCTGCTCAGGTGARACCCCACCTGCAGAGCTKCCCCAGCCCTGGGGTCCAGCACAGGAAGGATCTGGAGCTGCTGGAGGAGTCCAGAGGAGGCCACGGAGCTGCTCCAGGGCTGGAGCCCCTCTGCTCTGGAGCCAGGCTGGGAGAGCTGGGGGTGCTCACCTGGAGAGGAGAAGGCTCCAGGGAGAGCTCAGAGCCCCTTTTGGGGCCTAAAGGGGCTCCAGGAGAGCTGGAGAGGGACTGGGGACAAGGGATGGAGGGACAGGACACAGGGAATKGYTT